ATATATATATATATATATATATATATATATATATATTAATATTTAATAGTATAAGATATAATATATAGAATATGTAGAATAATATGCTTCTTGAACATAACATATAATTTATAATTATATTTTGCATCAATAATTAAAAAAGAAAAAAACACTTAAAACTATTTGGTTTCTTGGGATCACAATATACAAGAATAAAAATTACATCATAATAATTTAATTAGTCCCTTAGTTAGACAAAAAAAAAATTAAATATCCATGATTATTGATCTTAAGAACCATGACTAGAAATTACCTTTCAGATTGAAGCTTATTGTGTTCCTCTTTCCCTTTGTCAACCAAACTACAACTCTCGTAGAACTAATGTCACCAAAACAAAAGTAACTAAGATTTTCAAAAATCATGCGGTCATTTTAGTGGGCATATTAATTTCACCTCTATATTAAGATTTTAAGGGTGGTGCTTTTGGAAATGAAAAGTACTCACAAAGGTGCAGGAAAAGACTATTCAGAGAAGGCAAAGGAAAATGATCAACAACTCATAATCTGCTGCAAGTTAAAGAATAAAGAAGCAAGTTAGTATAGGGACTCTTCATCATCAAGCATGAATGAGGTTAGTAGCAAAGAAAATCTAAATCATTCATCTTCATATTCTTTAAGGAACAAATAAATAAGTTAGAGAAAGAAAAGTCTTGCTTGCAAAAGATGAATAGTTGGTTCGAAAAGCAAAAGATACATTAGTTAATTCATTTCCAAGGGAAAATCATTTATGCATTTTCTAGATTATTGCATCTTACTAATGCTTTACAAATCATGTCAAGCACAGGCACAATTTCTAATCAATTTGGCTATGTGTTTTTAAATTTTTTATAGTTTTTAAACACCAATTCAACCCTTTTTCTTAGTGACCCCTAGGGTTGAACACCAAAATGATTGAAATAATTTTATAAGAACTAAAATATTAAATATTCAAATTAAAAGGATATTTAAGCTAATATATAAGTTACAAGATTCTTTTAAAAACTTTAATTTCTTTAAGTTATACAACTATACATAAATTATTAAGATTAATCAGTCTCTTTATGAGTGTGTGTGAGTGTTTATATAAAAATGAGAAGAATAAATTGAAGTTATATAATAATACAAAAATGGTTAAGACTTTTTAAAAAATTTATATGATTTTTCTGTTTTAGTTTTGACTATTTATAATTAATGTAATGGTTAATATTCACTCTCACACACTAATGTCTTTAATCCAAATGGTTTAAGAAGCATTATTAAAGAATCAAGATACATTACACACACATTGATTGTAACACCCTTTAGATTTGATATCTTAATGGCTCCACTCCATGACACTTCACACAACTCCTTATTCCTTAGAACTCTTCACTGGTCAAAACCCTCCATAGGTAGCGCTTTCTAAGATGTATGACTACCTCTAAGATCAATAACTGTTACCACAAACCAACACATGACTTTTCACCGTGTTTTGTCTTTTCTAGGAAACCTTCTAGAAGGTCACTCGTCCCTAAATTACTCCAAGCCAAACACACTTAATTGTGGAGTTCTTATGTGATGAGCTACCAAAAAGTATATGCATCTTGTTGTTATAATTGTGTTTGTGCAAGTCTCTTTGTGTGTATCTTTATCCTCTTTGAATCTTCAAGCTTCTTTATAGAAGTGCTTCATGAAGATAACCATTACAAATCCTTGAGCATCTTTCATAGGCTTGCTTTGTTTGTCTTCATCTTTTGTTCCTTGTGAGGGGAAGTGTTTGTTAGTGTAATAAATGTAAATATTAAATGTATTTCACAAAATTGCACTTCTTATTTGATCAAGAAAACTATGTATCACCTTTTACATACCAAAAGAGATAAACTATATATGCATGTGTCAGTTTGAAAACATCTTTCTTTGAGATTTTGCATTCTTCAAGGGATATGTCGATCCTTTTCTGATGCAAAGCATAACTTTTGTTCCTTTGTGAAGTGTAAGTACCGAAGAAGCTTTTTATTCCTTTCGACTTGTTAAGGAATATCAGACAAAAATGATTCGGTTACCAGTCATCATAAATGATATAAGTATAAAGCTTTTGACCTATAGATAAAATGCTTCGTTTTATAGACTTAATGAAAAAAATAATTGATTGTATTACTATTTGTCTTATAACTTGATCTGAAAAACTTTTCTCTAGAAAAATGTCTATATTTGTTATCATTAAAACCTAAAGTCTGAGGGGTCTAAGATTGCTTATTGACTTAACAAGTATGTAGTTGTTGTTTTCAACTATGTCCTACATATCTAAGTGTCATGCATTAGATTCCAATAGTCATAGTTTTGACCTTTGAAGAGAGGAAGCTTAATTGTTGACTATTCTTTGTTCTACATAGTGTTCAATAGAATCTTTATCTCTACATTGTTATATGCTAAATTTGAGATAGCTATTGAAAATGCTTTTGTAAAGCAATAGGATAAGAAAGATAAGGAAGAAAAACTTTAAATACAAAGTTATATTAATTCACTCTTCAAAAAGAGATATGTCCATTCCTTTCAACATGAAGGTATTTCAATATAACAACCCTCATTCTAGACACATGTTTCTCTCTCTTTAGACTACAACAACATAATCTTATCCCAAAGATTACTAGATCTAAGTATTTTTCATAGCCTCTTCAAGATCATCTCTACATAATCTCTTTAATAAGATTATTTAGAGCATCTTCACCACGGGTTGTATCTTACCATTAAGAAGAAGAAGGAGGAAGAGGAGGAGGAGGAGGTACACAAACAAAAGGAAAAATCAAAAGTTGAACAAAAAGATAAAAAATTTAACCTTTTATTTCAAAAATACATCATAAACAAGTAAAATAACAACAATATAAAATCTAGGGTAAAAAGTGAAACTTGAAATGGAACCTAATACAAGATCTGAAAAAATAAAGCTGAAACTTGAAATTGAAAAAATAAAAATTTGAGATAAAACTCATGAAACCCAAATCAGCAAATGGTACCAAATTTGCATTAAAAAGAAAGGGCATTAAACCCCACCAAAGAAATGGACTTGATTTGAACATGGGTCCAACGAAGTAAAGGGAAGTAAATGATCCCTATGTGTAAAGAAATGATCTTTGTGTGATCCATGAAGTACCCTGACGAGAAGGGGAAGGAGAAAGGGACTAGTTTGGAAAGGGAAAGGTTTCTTAATAAGGTTTGAGGGGAGAATGATTTTGGGGTTGGGGAAGGAAAGAAGAGAAATATTAAAACCGAAAGAATGGAAGTAAAAATCAAAATAAATAAAACAACTTGATCCCATTTTCAAAAGAAAGGAGTCTTTGATATCATTTATTAGACTACCTCAGTTTGATAATTAAATTAATATTTTATTATTAATAATTAAAATATTTTTTAAATTATAAAAAAATAAAGTGTAAAAAAAAATATTATAAAAAGTATGGGTTACTTATAAGAACTATCCATTGGAATAAAATTTATAAAATAAATATAAATTTCTTAAAAATTATGTGATATAGTGGATCCATTTAAAATAAATAAAAACTTTAGTTACATCCACTTATTTAGATGCTTTGATTATATAATAAAATAATATTCATTAATATTCTTTAGATATGGATGCTTTGATTCCAACTTTCGATAACACTTTCTTCTTAAATGACATTTTTTATTCAACACCACCATAGCCTTTTGAAATTTTTTATTCAACACCACCATAGCCTTTTGTTTCAAAAGAATCCTAAAATTAGAAAATATTCTCTTTCTTCTTTATTATATAAAGAAAAAACGTATTTTTTGTTTTTAAATATAAGTCCTTTTTAACTGTTTTTCCATCATTTAATAATATTTTAAAAAATAGATTTTAATACATGACATTTTTGTTATACTATTTTTTAAAAATATTTATAATAAAGATAATTTTAAAAAAAATTATGAAATTGGTAAAATTTAACACAGAAAAGCATTTTTTAATGTATATAAAAATAATTTTTTCTTATAATAAAAAATAAAACCGTATATTTTATCAACATGTATCGTCTTAAATTTTAATAGACCAAAATAGCAATAAAATAGATACGAAAACCTATAAATTAGAAGAAAAAGAAAATTTCCTTATTTAGAAACATGCAACAAACAACATCACAAGTTTTTATTTACCTATAACGGACAAACATTACAAGTTTAGAACAATCCAACACCCCACAGAAGACGAAATCAGGTTCATATTACATTACAATTTATTTTCCCAGTCACCACTGACCAATGAAACACAAGTGATAAAATCTAAATGGCACATGTGATCCAGAGCG